TGGTGCATGCCTGTAGTCTCAGCTACTTGGGAGGCTAAGGCAGGAGGGTCACTTGAGCCCAGGAGTTTGAGGTTACAGTGAGCTATAATGATACCATTAAACTCTAGCCAGCCACGGTGACAGAGTGAGATCCTGCCTCAAAAAAAAAAAAAAAAAATGTTTCTCATAGTAGAGAGACAAAAAGGTTTACAAAACAAATATTTTTATCATTAGGGAGAAAAACTAATATGTAACTTAAAAATGTGTATGTAGAGTAACTTTTAAAATAAAAACTACACCCAGTTCTAATCCTTAAGACCTAACATTAACCTTTAAAAGTGAGATTTGTGGCCCATTCTCAGAGAGTTTCTCTCTGCTGCCCCTAAAGAGATAATTCACTGAGAAACATGGAAGGTTTTTTGCTGTTTAAATAAAGCTCAAACTATATTTTTAAATAAAAGTCTGATTTTAATCAACATTAAAATAACACTAATATCCATTACCACTCAAATTGTACTGTAGCAGAAAGTAATAACACCACCTTAGGGTTTAATCATTTTATCAAATGCTTATAAACACACACAAGGAAGGAGGTCAGAGCCCAATGCAATCTTTCAACTAAAGCCTTCACAACACCTTTTTGCTTCACTAATTTGCACACGTGCTACTAACAGGGGTTACACAATAGAACTGTTTATGTACTCAGAAAAATTCTGAATGATGTCTTCTTACCTAATGTGAGAAGTGGCAGCAAAGGGAAAGTACAAGGCTATGGGTCACGGACACTTTGATCCATCAATTACAGAACATTCATTTAAACATTCTAAGGATTAATAGAGGTAGCAATTTAACATCACCTTCATAATCAAGGGCCAGGTAAAGTATATGATTTAAATGCTTTCAAGGTACATGTGAAGAAATGAAAACAGCCTAACCATGAGAAAGGCGGATACCCAAATTTGGACATGCCCATCATTCTATTATACAAAAGTGAATGGTTTCTATGTTTGCATTAATAGAGGTAGCAATTTAATATCACCTTCATAATCAAGGGCATTCTATCTTACATATTATTCCAAATGAAAATTCTATTACCACTGCTTTCAATTTCCCTTTAGTTCATAAAATAGATTGGGTTGCCAACAGCTTTTTCATGAAATGCCCTTTTGTTGTATCTGAATTCCAGTATAGAAGATAACATTTCCCCACCTAAACCACCCCAAAACACTTTCAGGTATTCCAGAATGCAACATAACAAACTACCTGCTGTTCAAAAAGCAATAAAATTGTGCTTTCATCTTCTTAAGAATAGTAAATAATGACAATACTATTAAAAACTTACTTGAACTTTGCTTCCACCTCCTCAGCAGCTTTCTGATATTGCTCAGTGGTGACTTTGTAGAACTCCGAGCTCTGTGAACAAAGATTGAATGCAAAGTTTTCAATATGCAAGAAGACAAAATGTGTGGAAGACTTACAATTTCAAAAAAAAATTACATAAAACCTTGTTTCAGCCACTCAAGTAGCAGAAGGATTTCTTGCACAATTGGCATGGATACTTATAAAAATACATGTAAAGCTACTCATTTAAATGACAGCAGAGTTGTTGGCATACAGATTATAATTACGGAGTAAACTTTCATAGCTATAATTCATCATTATTTGATTCTTATGAGGAAATTCATATCATTTTTGAAAAATCATTTAGATCGACTTTATTTGGAATCGACCACTGCAAGATCAAAGAATGCCTGAAATCAAAAAATGAAATTCATACACATTCACATTTGCCTATTATTCTATCAGTGTTCCAATTGGGATTATTACAGGATTATTTCTTTCCACATAATATGTTTGTCCTCAAGATGAATTCTGTATGCAGTAGAATCTGTTCTATCACTTCCACATAACCACAAGAGCATCAACATTTACAACTAATCAGTAGGGACAAGAGGACAGATTTAGGTAATTGAAATACAAAAAAAAAATGTTCCCACTATTACATGAATGAACATATAAACTACATAAACCAAGGTGTAATGGCAAAATAATGCCTTTCCTGGGGCAGCAAAATTTAAAATTATCCATTCTAACTAGCTATTTTGAAACCAGTCTCACTGCAGGGGGTGGCCTCAATGACCCCATGAGCTCTCAGACTCAATGAAATATCCTGCAAAATACACTCCAGTACAAAAAAACACAACACAATACAGTGGCCTACTGTGTACCTTTCATTCCCCAATCACTCAGGTTTCACATGCAAGGCTTGGGGTAGTTTACTTTTTAATAAATCATTGTTGGTCTGTGAAAAAATGAAAATGAAATCTCCTTCACACTAGTGACCCCTTTGCATTTAACAATCTGGGTTGTCCAATGACAGTCACATCCAGGTTTCTTGGATGTAGATAAAATCAATAGGTATGTGATTAGACAGCAGACTCAGGGTGGCTGGAGCCACGGACAGGTCACCATTTGAGATGATGAATGGCTTTCTATCAACCTACAGTCCCCTATGATGCTAACATTTACTATAATCTTATTTGGGCTACGATTTATCTTTCTTGCACCTGATCAATAAAGATGAACAGAACAGTTGTAAAGATCGATTGCAATTTTTTATCATTTTCAAGCACAAAGGTGCATTTCTGACATGAAGACAATATTCTAAGTGTACTTCTTCTGTATTATTTAAAACTGCAATTTGAGTGATCAACTGCACTAGTCTATACGCCGAGAGGTTTTAATTTATCTGTAGGTCTCGAGCTATCAAAAAGCCATTTGTCTTCTCAGATAGTTTAGGTTATGTCACATCTTTTTATCTGTTTCACTTATAAGATTTTCTTTCCTTTAAAATACAAGTCACAACATGCTCTACTACAATGTTTGGCTTAAGCTTTTCTTTGAAATCTTTCTAACAGAGAGGGCAGCAAAATGGCAGTTACTAATCTATCACTAACAATGATGAGAAACACCCAAATTACTCTGATGAACTGTCAAGTGGGCATTATGTTACTGAATTATCTATTAAAATGCTGGCGAAGCAATAACATCTTAATTAATACTTTCCCTTATTTTAAGCATTTAAACTGTAATATCTGGACATAGACAGGACTAAGTTGAATGATGTGGTTTCTGTTATGTGACCTTGAACAGGTCTCCCAACCTTTCCCAGCTTCCTTTCTGGTGTTCTTAACCTGTAAAATATGGATGATAATATTAGCCCTGCTTATCTCTGCCAAAGCTGTTGTAGAAATCAAATAAGATAGGCAAGAGAGCTGTAAAATCTGTTAAATGTTTTTACAGATTAAGATCAACATCCAAATAAAATGATTTTGGAGGAAAACAACTCATTTGGGTAATTCCATTCTGGATACAAATTCTAAATGATCAAAAGTAAATATTCAGTTTTCTAATAAGAATACACACAAAAACAAGAGTTCTATCATAATATAGTCAGCTCCTTTCTGCTTTGTAATGCCAAATGCGGATAAAATTATTACTGATTTTGTCAACATTCCCCTAGGATGTTAAACACAAAAACCTGTACCTGCACTGCCTGCAAACTTAGCACATAATTCTAAAATTAAAGCTTGAGGCATTATTTATGCTCTATACTTCCACCTCAGTGACCAGTTTTCCATATCGCATAAATCTTTCTAACAAAGAAAGTCCCTAGGAGGCAATACCATATAGCAATGATGGGAATAAACACAATATGCCCAAGATCTGTACATAGACAGTGTTTAATTCATCTAAGGATTTACTTATTCATTTGACAAAATTAAATGCTTATTACACCAATAACGTCCACCTCGGGGAATTAGACCCTCAAGAAGTTTTCATCTGATAACGGGAGAAAAGAACAATAATTATAATGCAAGGTCACAAATGCCAAGTTAAAAATCATACAGATAGTGTTTTACTAGAGTTCAGAAAAGAGTAGAGATCTCCTCTTGCCTGAGAAAATACTTCTCAAAGTGAACACCACCAACAAAAAACAAGAACAACAACAACAACAACAACAACAAACTGCCTCAATATGTTTGCCAGCGGGAGAATGGATAAATACCGGGTATTCATACAGTGAAAATGCATACAGTAGAGAAAAAGAATGAATTAAATATACATGAAGAGCAAAAACAGCAAGTTGTAGATCTGATGTGGTAGGATGAAATTTAAGTTTTGAAAGGTACAAAATAATGAACAAGAGCAGTAAATACCAAACTCCACTCATCATCTCCAACTGGCAGCAGCTGTGAGGTAGTGGTAGGCGAGGACAAGAAGGGCAGAACGCCATAAACGAAGAGAAGACAAGGGGCTTCGCTGCACTGCGATGGGTCTTAAAATGAGGTGTGGGTCAGCAGCTAGTTGTTACATTGCATTTAAACATTTGTAAAAATGTAAACATTTTTACATAAATGTTTACATAAATGTAAAAATGTTTACATTTTTACAAATTGTATTGTATTGTATTACTCCTCCCTGCACCCCAGAGGTGTTAATTAACAACAACAAATGAATTAGTTAGGCTAGAACATAAAAGTGTCTTTGGTGGGATGCATGCTGAAGAGGTGGGCTGAGTCAAGATTTTATATATTCTTAAACTAAACTAAACTATTGCAGTATGTACACATTACTAAACAAATGTAATTTTTTCAACTTCTTTTTGTGAAATAATTTTAGACTTAAAGAAAAGGGGCAAAAAAATAGAAGCAGGTTCTCATATATCATCTTGGTTCCCCTTATGGCAACATCAAAGTAATACATTAACAATGTTACAATAGTAGTAACTAGTAGCAACTCAACTATAGACTTTATTTAAATTTTTCCAGTTTTTCCATTACTGTTCTTTTTCTGCTTCAGGATCCAATCCACGTTGCATTTAGTTGCCATGGCTCTTTAGTATCCTCTAATCTGTTTCAATTCCTCAGTCTTTCCTTGTCTTTTACAACCTGGCACTTGTGAAGAGTACTGGTCGGGTACTTTGTAGAATGACTTGCCATTTGGGCTTTGTTGATGTTTTCGTGTGGTTAGAGTGAGTTCACACATTACTGAGAAGAATACCACAGAAGCAATATGCCCTTCTCCATGCGTGATTTCAAGGACTACAACCTGGTGTAGATCTTTCTACTGATGTAGACTTTGATCACTTGACCAAGGTGGTGTCTGTGGGGTTGCTCCACAACAAAGCCACTATTTTTCCCTTTTGTAATTGATATCTTGTGGGAGAGCCTTTGAGACTATGCAAATATCCTGTTCTGAGTGCAGTAACGAGTATTGTGGTGTTCTAATGGTGCACTAATTTTTAAATGACATTATTGCAGACTTAGATGTTACTGATACAATGACTTTCACATAGTTTTTTACTGAATAGTGAAAACCATGTAGCCGCACAGGAAAAGCCTTAAAAAAAATCTCCAATGATTGAGTAGGTATTCTTAGGAAAGTATAAACAATCTGATTATGAACTGCAGAACAGGAAGTAAACAAAAGAGGGAGCAAAAGAGAGGAAATTAAAGAGTTACAGAGAGATGGACCTAAATCAAGCCCTCCTTCCCCACTGGCCCTCAGTAACTGGATTGCCCATACTGTTGCATTGTGGGATCCTCCCTCCTGCTGCCAGAATGCCAATATTTAGCACTATGAAGTTAACTGTCCATGTTGTGAGGATAAGGCAGACTGACTATTGTAAAGAGTGGGGGGAAAAGGAGAAGGGGATGAATGGTTTCAGAAGTTCCCTTGGGGACTGCCTGACCAGATCCAGGTTTATAGGAAGTGGCCCCAATTCTTGCCCTATAGTTTTGTGAGCCCATGGGTTTAATGGCCTGTGGATTACTTGCTTCAGAGTCTCTTACAGAGCATATTAGACTGTAGAGTCCTGGTCCACAACATAAAATCTCCAGGGATGGAGCTAGGAAGTTTCATTTGTAACAAACGTCTTGGGTGATTCTGAATATACACTAAGTTTGCAAACTACTGGGTTTCTAGACAATAAAAGAATAATATATTATTTAGCTTGCCATTCAAAATGAAAAATAATTAGTGTTTTTTAAGAATGATGACAAATAACCACTTTCCATAATTAAATATAGCCATCATCTTTCAAAGGTGCTCCAAAAAGGTGATCCATCCCATATTGTTGGCAAATCACTAGTGGACTGAAACTTCCTGAAGAACTCTGTCTTTACCCATTGCCTAGCAATAGTACAATGTTCCTACTCTCCTTGAGCACTGACAGGTAGAAGTACAGTAATTTTCAGACAGGTTGTTTTTGTTATTTGTGTTGTCTTGAGATGGTAATAGGTTATACATGCTGCTACTTTGCTTACTCCCCTACCTCTTCAATCTGGGCTGTGTTTGTGACTTGTTCTGGCCATAGAAAGTGACAGCAGTAATGATGTACCAGTTCCAAACCTAGGCCTCTTCCTTGGAACCCTGCCCAGATGCCACATCGGTGACCCCGGGCTGGCCTGTGGGAGTAAGAGAGATCGCATGAACCCAGATGAGGACATCCTAGACCAGCCAAACCTCAGCCAGCTCAGCAGGAGTAAGCCCAGCTGGGACTAGACATGTCCAGCTGATAACGGCCCAAATTGGTGACCTGTAGAATCAGGAGGTGAATAAATGGTGGTTGTTTTAAGCCACTAAGTTTGGGGTGATTCATTATATATTAAAAGCTAAGTCGTTTATGGTCTTTCTGCGTGTTCTCAGAAAAAACAGACTTTCATCAAGCACTTACCATATTGTTACCAACAATATGCGTTTCTGTGTGTTCTCCCCAACTAGTCCGTAGGCTCCTCAAGGGCAAGTATCTTGTCCTATTTGTCATCATATTTAGAGTACTCAGCAAAATACCCGACACACAAAACTTACAGAAATAATGTTAGAGTGACACGAGCAATTCTGAACTGCACTTCAACTTTTGCTCTTATTTAAAACAGGATGGGGCAGAAACAAGTCTAAAGTAAATGAAATAATGTTATAAGAAGGATAAGATGAAATTCTATATTTATTATGTCTCCTACAAATTGATAAATGCTCTGGCCTGCAATGCCACAAAAAAAGAAAATGGTTATCACTTAAGATAGTGTTCAATTCCAATTAACAGTATAGCAATAGTTGAAGCTACAAACAGTAGCTTAAACAAATAGGGGTTTATTTTTCTCATGTAATAGGAACTCTGGATGTTGGAAACCCAGGGCTAATATAGCTGCCAAGTATATCAACAAATAACTAGGCCCTCTTCTGTCTTCCCTTTCCACCCTCAACAGTTGCCTTTTGTACTCATGGTCTCAGAATAGCTGCTGCACCTTGAGTTATTATGCCCATGCCCTAAGGAAGGAAGAAGATTCTGGAAGGTAAAGAGATTTCCACTTCCATCTCTCTGGCCAGAATTTCATATCATGAACAACCCTGACTGCAAAGAAGAGTAGGAAATTATTTTTGTTTCACTTCTAGAGTAAAGAAAGAGAAGAAAGGAATTTGGAATGGGTGTTTACTGAGCCAATTTATTGTACCCGCTATGGAGAGTTGCAGTAACAGCGCAAAATCACGCACAAAGCAGTGTGGTTGACTTTAGCAAGTACCCCAATATGTCTTTCCAATCTCCTTTCAACTTCTAATTTGGGGTGTTGAGGGGTGGGGATTTACCCATCTGGTATTCTCATACCCAAGAACAAAGTTTTCAGACATGTAGGAAGGAAATAGGAACCCACAAGAGTGGGCATCACTCCCAAGTTTCTCTGGGCTGGCTGTGGCCCAAGTTTTTGAATGTGTGATACGCTGCCATTTTCCATTTTCAGGAAGGCTCCCTTTTAAAAGTATATATTAAGATGCACACGCACAGATATACATTATTGCTAGATTTGAAAAGTATCTTGTTTTCAAGTTCTAAATTAGATCAAAAGAAAACACGCACACAGTATTCTTACAATATCTTTTCAGATTCTGAATTGCATTTCTGTTCTATTATAACTAATATGATCATACCCGTAGCATACAAGAAAAGAACAAATCAAAGAGGTCATGAGAAAAATTTTACTAGCTCTTGTTAGATCTTTTACAGAATGCCTCATACGAAGATCAGGGAATGACTAGGTAACACACCAGAGCTGAGGTACAATTTAAATTCTGGTGGCTTGACACTATTTCCCAGAGGAGAATAACACTACTACTCACTGTCCATTCAAGGACTGTGGCAACTCCACAGGTGTCTAGTGCAGAGTGAGCAGGGGAAGGAACGAGTCTGATTGTGGAAGTAAGCAGACTGGCTGAAGGTGTGGCTCTCCTCTTTCTCAGCTGATCTGCAATTACCGCTAACCACTTTCTGAGTCTCTCCTTCCTAAACCCACCCCCACACAAGTGTCACTCGAAGTGGCCAGCCAATTCAAATAAAGGTCTAGGCCAGGGTGTACAAACACCAATGCCAATGAGAGCATTTCTATTGTTGAACAGCTGGATTCAAAACAGTCTTATTTGTACTCTTTGTAATAACACATAATCAGCTAGATGAAGGTATATATGTGTCCCCAAAGGTGAGAGCTAAGTATTTGGGGACCCAATTTACTGCTGCATTAACTGCAGCGCTGATACAATTCCAGGCACAGAAGCTCTGAAATAGTCATTTATTCAGTGGCATCAGGTGTTCAAAAGAGTTCAGGCCTTTGTCAACCATCCTGTCTTTTTATAGAATTACACAGAATAAAGAGACTGACTTTGCAATGTAACTGCATTTTTTTTTACCATGATTTTAATAGCTATAGAACTATTTTTTAAAAAATCACTAATAGTCCAAATTTAGTTTATCTAGTTGTTTCAGTATTTTTCTGAAAAACCTTCTATCAGAAAGCTTAATGGCTGGTTTGGCTTTTGCCTTACTTATGTTTCTGTATATTTTTTTTCCTTTCTTTCTTTTTTTTTTTTTTATTTCCTTGTCCCATTACATTAGCTAGTGCTTCCAGTGTGATGTTGAATAGGAGTATTCTAATTCTCAAATTGCAACATATTGGAAACTCTGTGAAATACAGAATTTTTTTTTTTTTTTTTTTTTGTACACACGAAAGAAGAAATGTTCCTATACATTTTGAAGTCTGTTATAGGTGAGCAGAACAACAGTGGAAAGGAATTTGAAATTCTCAGTGAGAAAAGTGGCCCTTGAATAGAGAAATTGGCTAAAGAATCTTTTATTACTGGAACTTCTTAAGCCCATGGCCTTCATTCCACTTCCCTGGGCTCTCTCCTTGCATCCCCTTCTTTCCCTCCTACCACCTCTTCTCTCTCACTAAGACAGGAAAATCAAAGCTAATATTTAAATAGCTTGTGAACTGCCAACACTGGTTCAGATTCACGGAATATCAGATCCAATATTCTATTTCTAAAAGGTACACCGAGAAATAGTTTGGGTTATTTAAACTGAGTCTTACTTTCTAGCACCTAAAACGAGGACTTTATCTTTCAGGATGGCTGTATCAATGGGACAATGTAAGCCTGTACTTGGCATAGAGCCTGGTTTCTCCTGGTGGAAGGCAAAGGTTCTTAATCACAAAACCACTTGTGCCAACAGCCCTTGGCTCCCTAGGTAATCTGAAGAGCCTGGATCCCCATTAACTTATCTACACAACTATGAAGGAACCCAAAGAACAATCACTAAGGATTCAAAACTGCATGTCTGCATTTCTAACATTCAGCACTGCCATTTGTTTTGTGTAAGTGAAAACTCAAAAGGCTAGTATCCTGAGTACTCCTAAATTTCTGCTAATAACCATTTGTGTATAAGTGCATCTTAATTTCTCTCAGCCCTATTTTTTGAATCTGTATCACTAGTAACCAATAATAAATGACTAAGTTAGCAGTTTCTAATGAATCAAAAATCCTGTGACATTCCACAGTCACTCAAGACAAATGAAGATTCCCTGTGGAAACAAGACTATCATTGGCTTATTCCAATATCACTCTTTCCTTCTTAGATGACCCTTGTTTTAAGCTAGATATATAGTCACTCAAGCTAAAATTCCAAGCTTGCTTACAATTAGGCTGAGCTGTAACCAGAAGTGTTATGTGGGAATTGCAGGTAGGCTGCTAAAAGGGAGCTGAACTCAGCTGGCAGGGAATCTTTTCAGCCCTCTTGCCTTGCACTCTTTTATCCGGTCTGCAATGCAGATGTGATGGCCAGAGCTCCAGCAGCCATCTTGGGAAACTGACTTTAAAGAGGAAAGCCTGTGTTAGAGTGCTGGAATGAAACAACAGGAACTTGGGGCTCTCATGATAATAAACCCACCATGCCAACCCTAGCCTGCCTGCCTCTAGACTTTTATTAACCAAGAGGAAAATGCACCTCTAATTTAATGCACTGACTGCCATGTGAGTTGTATTTAATTCAGGCTAGTTTTGAGCCACGGCCATGTGAAACAAAACCCTGCGGATGGTTTGTGAAAATCTTACTAGTTGATGTTCTTAGTGTTACAATTAATACTGACAATTTAATTCTAAAAATGTGGATTGTGTTGTATATAACTCATACACAGAAAACAATAAAAAATAACAAATTAGGATCGTTTTGTTTTAATAAAACACCGCGGTCCCAGGAAAACTTTTGTTTTTTTAATTTTCCTAGTGTGGCAGTCAATGTGTTAAGCTATTCTATGCTTATGATATATGGGGTCAAACTAATCAAGCATAGACCTTTTCTTAGCCCTGAGATGTTTGCTTTTCGTACACCTCATGAATAACTTGAACAAAGTCAAATGCAATGACACACTAGGGGTATCCTTCTCCTTTATAGTAATGCCTCACTTCCACTTGTCAGAAATCTCTATTCCCTTTTGTCTTTCCCCTTTTCTGAAAAAGAACAGGAAGAATTAAAAAATTTTAAAGCCATGTTTAACTCTAGCATCAAATCTTGCCATCTCTGAGAAGCCACATTTCATGAAAACCCCATTGTCTCCTGGGTACCTGGGCAAAATTAATAAACTGCTTTTGTAATTATCCTTTCATTCTATCTTTACTATTTCTCATATAAAGAAACAGAGCTATTCAGAGCTGCTTCTGGCATTTCTAGTTTTATTCCAGGAGCTTTAGAAACTTCACTAATTAGAGTCTCAGGGTTTTTTTCTTGATTTAGTTTGCTAATTAGATTAGGAATCCTAGATGCATTGACAGCCTTGCCACTACGCAACGATAACCTTAGTTACATTAGCTCATGCCTCAGTTTCTTCAGCTGGGCAATTTAATAAACAACTGCACCAAAACAACTACACTCTTGTGTCATTCTAAGTTTCCTTTTATTTGTTCATTTCTTCATTCTATAACACTAAAGATCTGTGCCAAACATGAGGCCTGGAACTTAGAATATTATGAAGATCCCTACTTTTATGGAACTTATGGTATAATGGGAGAGATAGGCATAAATTTTAAAATCACATAAATAAATGTATAATTAGTAAAGAACTGCAGTGCCATAGGATCACTATGTGGAATTTTTTATTTTTAGGAGTGGTTTTTCTAATGAGTCTCTAAAGCACTGTATTTCTCTGAAGTATCTAACTACCCTTCATATTCTGTCCTGAAGTTAGCTGTGATTTTATTTCCTTTTAATTTCTCTAGCTATTTCTGTCAGACAATTTAAGCTTTATCACAGAGTTCTCTCTACTTGAAAAAGTTTATTCTGACCCCTTTAGGAATAAAAGAGATCTGCTTGTATTGATACGAAAAGAGATCCAACAAGTATGAAAACAGAATGCTGCAAAATACATTGAACAGTACTTTCTAAAATGATAAGCATATATATGTGCACACGTATACCCAGAAATGATCTACAAGGAACAGTTGTTATGGATGTGAAAAGGTACTTTTCCTCCTTATTTTACAGCCTTCTATAACAATTTAAGATTGTAGCATGGGCTAAAACTTTGACAAGAAAATCATGCCTTAATTTCCAGCAGACATTATACCTAAATTTATACCATGCCAAAAAGTTAACTTATCTAGCTATTACTGGGAAAATGACTCTCTCATCCTTTCCCCATTTTCCATGCTTAGACTGAGACTTCCCATTTATCCCAAATGGGATTGAGACTTTCCATTTATCCCATGATTATTTCTTTAATAATGCCAATAAAAGGTCTTAAATCTTTCTATTGTTTATAGTTCTTCTCCCTGTGATAAAACAGTATAACCCTTCTACACTCACCTTTTGGACTTCTATGTCACACATCTGAGGCCTTTCTGCTCTTTACATGGTTATATATCTCACTGTTTCTTCTACAAGGGTAAGACAAAGGAATTTCACAGTTATCAGAAGGGTTATCACGAGAATTTATCGTGACGTCTTCCAAGACATGTAGAGTAATTTTTAAATTACTGCATGTACCAGGGCAGGAACCTCCCATTCTCTCCAGGGCTGTGTAATGTGACACAGTCACTCTCCAGGCCATAAGTCTTACTTGGGAAGTGTTCAATGAGGTGATGCTACATGCACATTTAATAGCATAACCGCTGGATGGCTTTATACAGAAGGTGCCACATTTGAATTGCCAACACATCTCAGGTTTACACTCCACTTTACCCTGGCTGGTCTTCTATCATCTCCTGTGGAAAGGAACTCTATAAATCGAACAAACAAACTCTCTCGTGCTTTCTTGGCATAGGCGCTAGTGCAATCACATGCACACCGAGCCTTCCTGAATACTGTGCGCTAAGAAGAAAGCCATAAATGATGATCCTTACTGTCGAGGAGGCAGACAAGCATTAGCTCCTTTAACAGCAACTCTGTTCAGCTCTGCATTCATTCACATCTTTATACTAATAATCTGAAGGATTTACAACAGATGCTCACTTTGATGATACTGGTTCATTACTCATTACACCTTCATCACTGGCTTTAAAGAGGGGAAACCCTAAAATTCATTTATTCAAAAAAAACTATTGTTGAAGGGTGACTATGAGCCAGGCCAGGGGTAGGCCCTAGGAAGGGAAAGCTGAAGATACCTTGAAAGGCCAGGGGGCAGAGAGCTCTGAACAACTAACCAATGATATTGCACAAAGATAATCGACTTCAGATTATTGTCTTTTTAGTCTTCAAGGGCTCCATATTACAGTACAAATGCTACAGGAGGCAGAACGCTCTGTCATCGGACCTCGTGTTCCTCAAATTTGTAAGGTCTATCATATTGACTGAAAATATATTAGTCATAGAACAGAGAAAACAAATTTTAAAGATTCTCATAGAGAATTAGAATAGTTCTGAGATCATTTCTTTGGAATCCAGGATATAAAACTGAGTGAATCCATTCATTACCTTTTAGCTTATTATCAATTAACTTCCTAATAAAGACTCATAACCAATAGGTGGGAAGAAGAGGAACCCTTCTCAAAACAAAAGATAAGTGTGCAGAGTGACAAAGGAATCCCTCAAGGAAGAAACAGTGTTGGGGGAAAAAGGAGTCCTGACTGAGGAGGTTGGAGGGGCCATGGTACAGCTTGCAAGCTTCCTACTTTTGCACAGAACTGGACTTTTAAAAATATAATCTCATCAGCTGTGTCTAGCAAGATGAAATAGAGACAGTCTAATAGAGGCCAACACAAATAATTCATTCTGATTCAGAAAATCTACTTATGTAAAACTTTCCTGAATATTGAGCAAACCTTTGAACTCTTTCAGAGACATGATATACTTGGTTGGTACCAGCTAAGAAGCAACCCCAACTGAATCAAATCTATTTGCTCAGAAGTAGTACCTTTCCAACACCACAGAAAATACACACCTCTCGTAAAGGGTGAGTGCCACAAATGAGCTCAGAATCCCAGAGTGTGTAAGTCTCTCTAAATGAATAAGATAATGACAAACTTCTGATTGCCCCCAGCAGAGTTATGAGCTAAAAGCCTTTATAAGGAGGTACTCTGATGATGTATATGCATGAGCATTCTTAAGCTTCAAAAGATAATTTCATCACTATGCTTAGATAGTGATTTGTGGCACCTACTGACACATAAAAGGTGACACAGATAACATCACTTAATGAGTTACTCATTAAGAACTATGGTACTCACTCTTTTAATGCACACATTTAACACCTATATTCAATAAAGACAGTCCTGGGGTTGGCACAGGCAGAGGGCATTGAATTACCATCCATGATAGTTTCTCATTTGAGATCTACTTTTGTCACTGGTATTATGCATTACCGATGTCTACCTAGGAGAAAACCTGTAAAACTCAACCAAAAGTGAAATTTTAAAAAGAATTTATTTTCTAAGCTAAAATTCCACCTAAAAAAAATCCCATTCTTTAAAGTCTTGTGATTAGAAGGAGGGATGGGGAAGGTCTACACTACAGGTATTTAGGAAAAACATTTCCTTGATAGTAGCATTTGAAAACATTTGTGAGATAAAGATTGGTAAAATAATGTCATTTTACATCTATCAAATTTGCTGTTTTGTTTTTCTTTTTTACACTCAGATATATTGTAAACTAAAAATAAAATTCTAATCCTCCCACCAACTAAACGGACTCCCTTTTGAGTAAGAGTATCCCAGAAAGACCCTAAAACTGAGTTCCTGGCCATGATGGGAAGGGAGGTCAGACATGTCTTGTTATACGCCCTCCCTTCTGGAGTTTAGACACAATTGACCAGCATTAACCTTAGAGATATAAGACTGACAAAACAGCAGTAAAACACCAAATTGTAAACAAGACCTAAGGCCAAGCAAGGGAAGGGTTAAGTCATGCCTTACAATCCACAAAATCTAATTAAATAGGTCCTTTTTGCTGACATGGTATCACATGGCAGATAATAGACTCCCTTATTTTAACTTCCATATTCCTTCCTATTGACTACAAATTTTCAGACAAAGCCTAACTTTCTCAACCAACTGCCAATTAAAGAATCTCTAATCTCTAATCTCCACCGATGTCTTCTGAGCCCCCTATTCAAGATATCCCAATTTTTCAAGCCGAACCAATGTATACCGTCCATGTATTGATTTATGATTTTACCTGCAATTTCTGTCTCCCTGAAATGTATCCTCGGGCACAGTTTCTCAGGATCTCCTGAGATTGTGTCTCCTCTGGCCACGGTCACTCATATTGGCTCAGAATAAACTCTTCAAATTATTTTACAGTTTGTTTTTTTCTGTTAACAGTCTTCTTAAGTACCAATGAGCATATGAGGAAATGGACTCCCTCATAATTTGCTAGTAAGAGTATAAACAGGAATAATTTATGGCAACATATTTCAAATGACTTTTAATGATGTATGCCCTTGACACAAAAGTTTTATTTCTAGAAATATGTGCAATAATCGATATGTATAAAAATGTAGCTAAAATACTGAAAATTGAAAAACAAATATTCAACAATAGGAAGAGCAAAAGTAAGTAATAGATTTTCCATACAATAAAATGATATGGGGTGTTTAGGGTTTGCTTTATTCTTCCCTCTCTAAGAGGAAAAAGGAGAGATGAAATGCTTAAATTCCTTTAGTTTTTAGCCCTTGGTGGATAGATTTAAGAATAAGGAGAGTTATGCAACAGTTTCTTATGATGTTCCAAACTGTACCACCTCTCTTCTCCAGAATAAAAAATAAAAATAAAAACAAAAGCCTGACATTTACACATGCTACAAATGTATCCATCCATGAGGTCAATATAGCTGAACGAGTAGAGATTAATTTTTAAAAGGGGATGGAGGACAAACCTATTTTAAATTATAAAAGTTAAAACCCTTTTTATTCTTAGTGTCTCTGAAATTCTTTTGCCATTTGTTAAGTGGGTTAATGTTCACTCTTTAGTCGATCAAATATTTACTGACATCCAACTCTTACAGAGCAAGGTACTAGTAGCTGAATAAGATATTTTTTGAAAAAAGTAGTTATGTGATTCTAGTGCTTATAGTCTACTGGGATATAATAATCATATTAAAATATCTCTGAAAAGAAGGGAGGCCCTGAAGAGTCCTCTTCAAGTGAACACAATTCCATCACAAGGGTTGAAAATATAGGAAGCATAAGCTAAAATAAAATTTTAAGGCTCACCCCCCCCCCCACCGGCTGACTAAATGGACTCCCTTGTGGCCAAAGGAATATCCTAAAACTAAACTGCCTGCCAGGAGGAAGGAGGTCAGACAAGCCTTATTGTGCGCCCCTCCCTTCTAGGAGGCAGCCTTTGTAACCCATTAACAGATCTAAGGGTATGCAAGACAAACCTGCAGGTCCTCAATTTACACAACAAATCTATGTCTGGTGGTTATCACTGATAACAGCTCCTTATGTTAAAACATTCCAACCCTATAGACAAAGCTACATGTCTTTAACCAACTACAAGCCAAAGAATCTTCAAACCCACATGTAACCTATAAGGCCCCCCCCCCACTTGGAGATGTCCCACCTTTTTGGGCCAAACCAATTTATGCCTCCCACTTACTGATTTATGACTTTACCTGTAACCCCCGTCTCCCTGAAATGTATAAAACCAAACTGTAACCTAACCACACTGAGTCCACTAGCTGAAGGCCTCTCGGCAGTGGCTCCGGGTCCTGGTCCTCAAATTTGGCTCAAAATAAATCTCTTTAAAATTATTTTACAGAGTTTGGCTTTTTTCCGTTGACAGAAGGCAGGTAGAGACTTGGGCTCTAAACAGCAAATATTGCTAGGAATCAATTATTTCTTTTTATCTCATTTGATTTTATGATAAAAAAACAGCCAAGGAGGAAGTAAGGTTAGAGGCTATTGTTTTTATTTTACCTAACCAGAATGGTATGTTTAAACAAGGATACACATTTGCTTGGTGTTCTAAAACACTGAGATACTAAGTGCTAGAACCAAATAAGTCCAGGCCTTGTGCTCTAAGTCCAGGGCTAGAGGGCCTTAGGTCTTGAGATATTAAATACTGTAGTTACTTCAGTACAAAGCAATAGATGGCATCCTAGAGAATACCTCACAAATCCATGCTTTTCTTTGATCATGGTGGTCTTGTATTTACTCCTTAACAGTCAAGTAGAAAGAATTACAATACCCATGCAATAGAAGATGCATGCAGATGATACACCTATCTGAAGTTTTAATTTCCTTTTATGGATATGAGCACCAACTCAGATGTTAATAATAACTGTGGTATGCTTTTCCCTAGTGCTAGCAATGCACATAATGCTAGGTAGGTGAATAAAAAAGTCAGTCTTAATTTAAGGGTTAAAATTTTCAAATATGAATTAGAGAAAGATTTCAAAAGTGGCAAAAGGATCACCCATCCATCTCAAAGACATGTTTATCTTTTTGTATTTCAAAGGAAAGGCCTTTAGAAAGACCTGGCATAGAAATATGCACGTGAATAGAGGCACATTGAAAAGTGTTAGCTTTCAGGTATAATGGCTCTCCCTTAGAAAGTACCATGCAGGATTCCTGAAGCTCTAAGGTGCATTTCATATGCTGCCAAGTACACTGAGGGCCCTGCAGTATTGCCTTTGTTCAGCTTCTGTTTCACGGCTCAGCAGCATTTTCCTGCCTTATGGCCCTAAACTCTACATACAAGTTTCACTCCTCAACTGCAGGAATGCAGTTCATTCATGTACTATTGAAATATGCCGGAATATGTTATAATTTGAAAAGGGAAGGGCTGGGGGGGTGTGGATAGAGACGAAAAGATAATTGTGGAGGACCAGTAAGCAAGACTGATAGTCTTCTAGAAATATTCATGAAAATCTGTCCCTGAAAACTGCTGGTATTTGGTAGCCAATCTTTTCCATGTGATTTTTCTGAGAAATGTTCTTAGAAAGATCCCACAAAGGGGTGATAATAAAATACATCTCGACAAATGATCTTTCAGTCTGGCATGATGTCACTCTCTCACATCTTCCATGTGGATTGCAACTCTCTTTCCAAGCTCTATCTCATTTACTCCATCTTAATCATACCGTGCATTCTGCAGAGTGTAAACTCAAGTCCTTCCAAATAAGACCTGCACGCCAGAATGCATCCATCCACAGGGACAAAGCACTTGTATTCCGTTAGTTCCCACAAATGGCAGACACTAGGGATTTAGGGAGTTGAGGTTTGCAAGAGTGCTTTAAAAGAACAGTTATTCACCCCACAGGAAAGAGATTCTTGGGCAACCCTCATGATCTGAACACATCTCAAAGGAAAGAGGCTCGATCTTTACTTCTGAAAAAGGTCTTTATTAAAAAGACAAATGTGAAATATAAATGGAACCTGGGGTAAATAATGTGAACTAGGTTCTGAGATGATCCCTTTTCCTAGCACACATTCACAGAAATTACAGGGCAAAGAAAGTCTGCAATAACCAGGCTGTATCAGATTCTCAGTTTATTGCTCAGTGTGACCCAAATGTAACCAGACCAAATCTATCAGCAGCTAGAGGGAAATGGCCTTGTGCTAGGCTTAGTTTCAACAGGCATCCTCTATGCCTGGTGAAGCCCTCTCTCCAACTAGAGACCAAGTTATTAAGAAATTGTTTGTCATCTTAGATTGGATTGATCATTTGTTTCCCCAAATTCTTTTTCTCATCATTTACTCATTACACGCCTCCTCCTGATAGAAGTAGACATTTATTAGCTTCTGCATTCATTGCACTGGCAAACAGAAACATTCTGCAGCATTTCCTGGGGGTTCACTCATTTATCTATTGGATAAGAGACTGAAGTTTTCCACAGGGCAGAAAAATTAAAATATCAGTCAGGTTGACAGCTGGGAAAATGAGGGTCTCTCTGCAACAAGAAGCTTGCTGGAGCTTTTGGTTTAATGAGGAGCTGCAATGTTATTTCACCAAACTACTACTTCATATATAACTAAAATTGTGGGCTATTAGCTGGTGAACTAATGTTCCAAATGAATAATGCACATGGCACACTATAAAGTACCTGAGATGAAAAGCTAATTGTTATTTTAAATAGAAAATATAACAAAAGGCTTTCAAAGATCCATTTCTAAAAGGAGCTAGGGAGAGAGGACTGTCTATTAAATCCATGAAACTGGAGCTAGAATCATAGAATTTTAAGTCATAAGGGGACCTTCCAGGTCAACAAATCCTTTTGCAAGAATCTTCTTTACAGTATTCCTGACAAGAGATCACTCTCATTGTGCTTCAAACACTTTTGATGACGGGGAGACTGGCACATCTCACAGTCAACCTGTTTTAGAGGTGAAAGCCTCTGGTACGAAGGGAGTCACTTCCTAAATGGGACCAGAATGCTTGTGACCTTGGGCAAGCCATTCAAACCCTCTGGGTCTCAGGGTCTTTGTTTTAGAAATTAGCTACCCTAGTGTTGAAAGAATCAGAGCCAAAAGAGAAGAAAGTCATTCAGAGGCTCAACTACCTCATACCAGCCAAGACTATTTGGTCCAGCAGGTCACAAGGTAACTTCCTGTCTTCAGAGACAGCACCGCTCCCTAGCAGAGCCTCCACACCTGTCCATAATGCTCTATGTTGAGACACATTTGAGATTATTCAGAGTGGGGCTTTCCTCTAATCTTTTTCAATTCTTTGTTTACTTCTTTTTTTCCTCTCTTCTCTTTGGCTTCATTTCCCTTGAACCAACTTTTCTTATTAATTATAAGAAATACCATTAATTTTTTGACAAAAAGCAAAAGCAATAATGCAATGGAGAGTTCAGCTCAGCCACTGACACAACCTTGCAGGCAACTGGCCCATCCCAAAGCAGCCCTGACTGTCCTAACGCTCTGATACCAACTTCCTGGGTTTTAGCCCACAGTTCAACAAAGCATGAATAGCCTAGTATTGTGCTTGGTACTGGTTATACAAAGAAAAATCAATTTCTAACCTTTTGTCCCCTGAGAGTATGTACATTATAAAACTCCAGTCTTCCTGATATAATATTGCTTAAAATATTGCTCATGTCCCACCCATCAAATCATCTGGGGATAAGAAAGAGTATAAATGCTTACAAATCAACGACATCTTTCAGCTAAGTGTTCATACAGACAATTTTTTCTAAATTGCTCTTAACTCTGATCTGAGAGCACCGTGGGGAGTCAAACGGTTCCATGTTCAGAATGCAACACTGATCAGTTCCATTAATACCCTGGAGCCTCAGCAAATCATCTGTAAGAGATCCTCATTCATGACTGTGCAAATCTTAGTTACTGTCGGTGAACCCCGTGAAAAGAAGTGATGCAACAATGTATTTGACAATTTTGCTAAACGCCCCCTTAATTTGTCAACCATAGATTAGCAGCACATAAAACAGCAATAAAACTTCCCAAAGATTAATTCAAGTTCTCCCTCCCAATATAGTTAATATTAAAATAAAGCCAGACGTTACTTATTAAAAAAAAAAATTGTACCTGAGTCAAAATGAGCAAGATGCTAGAGTTTTCCTTACTTGTGTTGCCTTTTATATAAAACCAGCTTGGATAAAAACAATATAGGTTCTTTAAGGGTGGTTCACAGGCTAACAATTCCTACAGATTCCATTACACAACACAGGATGATAAGTAAGATTTTTCAATTTAGTTTCATCACTTATTTTATCCAAGCAAAAGTCTTTCTGAAAAGGCCCTTATTTCATAAAGATAAATTCTTTCAAATGTTTCACTATATATAAGACACTAAAAAAAGAGAAACACAAATATCCACACAGCCTCTGTCCTCAACTAAGGTAGAGTCTGCAGGGAGTTTTGATGTGGTAATAGCGATATTTAACATCCACTGACACAAAAGCATGCATGAGGCACTACGCTCTGCACTTTACATAAATTGTTTCACTGAAACCTTACAATAACTATCAAGTTGGTACTATTATACCCATTTTCCAGATGAGCAAATTGAGGCCCAAAAAAGTGGGATAACTTACCAGATCTTTGAGCTTGTCAGTGGCACTGCCAGGATTGAATCCAAGCAGCCTAGCTCTGACATACCCTTTTTATAGCCACAGTATAGTGATTTTCAAATACGTATAACATTCGAATGTCTTATGAAAAGAGATCACATCTAGACAAAATGATTAGAAGCTTCATGTAAAAGGTGACATTTAGCCTCTAATTGAATACTATTCCCTTGCCTCAATCTACTAT